TCGGCAGGGTGATGGCTTGCTGACAGCTCTGCCCGGCTCCAGGACCGCAGGGGTCTCAGGAGCTGCCTGTATGCCATCTCTAGCATCTCAGGAACAGTCTGGCCAGGGATGTTTGACCATGTACTGAACTGGTGTACTAATTAACGAGGACATGTGCTGGAAGGGAGTTGTGTCCCAGGCCACTCTGGGTGGAGAATGAATTTTCAACATGGACATAAGTATGGCATTATTTATTGTTAGTGACACATGCACCTTGCTGAGTCCACTGGTTTACAAACTGAATGGTCAGAGAAACAAAACCGGTATCAAAGGATGCTCTTCAGGGACCATCATGCTGGCTGATATTTATGTTCAATTGTCAGTTGTGATTGTTAGCAATAACGCATCTAAGTAAGAAAGGGGGAAGTTAAACACCATGTTATAAGATGTACTGTAGGTGTTATTCAGAGCACCCTTTCTTCTCACAGTCTTGAGAATTGTTTTTTCTTCCTCATCCTGGAAGGCCGAAATGAAAATCCTGCTTTAGTTGGATTTTTAGTTACTTTTCAGAAACAGCAGTCAAATTAAAGGCATTTCAAACATGACTGCAGAGTATGGATAGATCAGGAAACAGTTTTAAGTGGGATTTTCAAAGCCATCTAAGGAATAAAGGTGACTTAAGTGACCTGTGAGAAGTGAGTGGCTAGTTCCCTTTGTCATCTGTGTTGACAAGTGCTTTTAGCCTGGATGTAACTATGCGTGGTATCGTTACAGTGACGGCCAGCTCTCCTGACTGCCTGTCTAAGCATGTTTTGGCAGTCTAACAGCAGGTGCTCTGAGGGCTTCTTCTGGCCTCTGGCTGTGGGTTAGCAGTTGCACCTCCTCAGACCCCTATTGACATAGCTCTGCTGACAGGAACCCCGGTCGTAGGTCTGGTGACGGCTCACTGGGACCTACAAACTCACCCTTCTTCTTGGGTATGCTGTTGTGTTACTAAATGCACAACAGACGGATCAGTGTACAGCATTGAAATAACATTTATGTAATTGTTTAATATAATAGTTTAATATAGGGTTGTATATATCAATCATGGGAGTTGAGCTTAATGTGGCAGTAATTCAACCACATTCAAAAGGGGCAGAAGAAAGGAATGATCAACGTGATATGATTTCTTTATACAAAATAGCATATCTGAGAAGTATAATACTGAGTTGAACATGGAAAGCGCAATTAAAGTCACTTGCTGTTCTCTCTGTGACGAGGCTGGGGGGACACAACAATGGCCCTGCCAAGCTACCTGTGGGATTAGCTGTGTCACGGTCTTTCTTTACCAGCCTTCCCCTGGGATATATTAACACTGTAGGCAGTGCTGTGAATAGAATAATCACACACAGCCTTGGTTTTAAGTAACTCATTTGAGATCTTCTAGTACCCTAGCCTCAGCTGGTCAGGGCTCACTGTAGACTGCAAAATACATCCCAGAGGTAAGGGCAAGCTGAGCTCCACAACTGCTACCTGTGTCTAAGCTGGCTGGCCTATAGCTGTCTTACGTATCACTGCCACGCACTGCTGGGATAATTCATACCTGAGCAGCGACAGTAGCATGAGCAAACTCCAGGAAGAGATTTGGTTTGTCTGGGGAGTTACTCTTGTGATAAGACTTCTTGCTCCTGCAGATAGATGAAGGAGGGTGTCTGATGTCCAACAGGAGCCTTTCAAAACTGTCACCACTCCTGTCATTTCTCAGATGCTAGTGTGAGCACATGATGTTACAAAGACTCTGACTCCTTGGGGAAAGATAAAATACCGTAACTTAATAATTTCTCTCCCCTCCTTCCCTTTTTTATTTCAACCTTCAAAGGATTTTTTTCAGGAGAGAAAGATAAAGTGATCTGGGACCCAGTTCCCACTTCTGCTCTAGGCTTCCTGTGTGACTAGGATAGTAGGTTGTGCTTTTCTGTACCTCAGTTTCCTCTCCATTAAGTTAGAAAAGGCAGAATTTTAAAATAATTTGTGTAATTGTTGAGTGTAGAGACAAGATCTGCAGACATAAGGCTACCAAAAGATACGGGAAACTGCAGAGGCCGGTTTTGAAAGATGCCAGTGTCAGACAGCCAAGTCTGTGAGTTTAGGTGCCTTACCTGATTAAATGTTTTAGAAAATTTAATTGGGAACCAGGCTGCAGAGTGCCTAAGTGCCATGGAGATTGTAGCTCTAGGGTCTTTCGTGTCCAAACAGATTTTACAATGGGGAGTAGTATTCCTTATTTGCTGAACAGATTTTTAAAATGCTACTAAGTCATAATGTTTCTGTTGTTGTTGTTTGTCTGTTTTGTCTAATTAGGCTCTGGCAGCACAATTGCAATCTCTTTTACTTTGTGTTTGTGCTGCGCCGGGTAGACATAACCCTGAATTTAGTTCTCCTGTAGATGCGAGTTCAATAAAAATAACAATACTTTTACTAATGAGAATAACTATGTGAAGCCAGGATTCATGCTAAATTAGTATGCATTAGTGACTTAGATCTATAATGAAGGTTTCCTTGCTCTCTGTTGTGTGTCTCAATTCATTACAGAGCAGTCCATAATATTTTATTAACAACATTTTTTTTTTTTTCTGGAACCATTGCCCAAAACTATTGGAAGAATATGTTCTTTCCCGTAACATCAGAATGAGACAAATGGCACTGCTTGCTTTCATTATTGTACAGAAGTGTCTTTCCTTTGGACTCAGATAGACTTGTAAATGGCAAGTAGCTGGAGACTAATGGAGCACATGCTTCAAGGCTTTCCATCTGGTCCCTTGGTGAGCAAAAAGAATATATTGTCTATGTTCTAATCAGTCCTCATTATAAAGAAAAGTACTTGTGCTCCAAGTTCCTGGAGAAACTCTTACCTTTACTCAGAGAGGGAGAGGGCAACAAGTACTATCCCCTTATGCATCTACAGAAGAAAAATGAATGGGGTAAAAATAAAAAATGAGGCAGAGTAGTTTTGCGCTCTGAAACTGGATAATGCACCTGTCAACAGGTATTTATTCTGGTGGCCTTCAGTGGCATTTTCTAGTGACAGCAGAATAGAGGCTAAAATTGTTTCAAGGAGACCCCGTACATACGAGTTGAGTGAGCGAGAATTATATTAATTTGAATGTGAGCAAAACTACTTCAGTTAAGATCCCTTTTCTAATTTTTTACATTGGAATCTTCCTCAGAGCTCCTCCTCCAATCATCCCATCAAATAGCCCCTATTTGTTCATTTATTTATTTGTTCACATACGTTCAGGAAGAAAAAGGAAGGAGATACTCCCCCCAATGGAGGCCATCTGCTCTTTTCTTATTTGGGGGGGGGGAACCCTACAATTAGTGTCTTGTTCATCTTTTCGTTTTAACAAAAAAAGAGGGGGAAAGAAAAAGAGAGAACTATTATGCAAATACTCTGCAATTTGGTTTCAAATATTCTTTGTACTATGATGAGCAATTTCCTTTAATACAAACTCAGCCTACTTGCCAGGACGGTTTTTTTGCCTTAATATAGGAAAAGAAAAAAAAAAAACTTTTATGAGTTAGGGGGGCATGCTGTGTTCCTCTGATGCCAACTTTTTCTCATCCTTTTTTTCTCTCTTTCTTTCTTTGGCACTATTACAGTTGTTATTCTTTAAGTTGTCAGAAAGGTGTCATATAGGTTTTTTAAGAAAGAGAGAGAACCAAAATAGCTTTACAAAGCTGCAGTTTCATCTCACTTTTCATTGTTCCATTGCCATGATGAAGTGGTCTTGAAATGGAGGACTCAGCTTAGTGAATGAGAGAGAAAAGCTTTCTCCCTGTCTTTTTTGAATGCCAGTTGCTTGTGATGGCAGCATTACCTCTAAGAACAGATATGTAGGTTTTTTATAAGTAGCTCCTGTGCTACTTGTTAGTGGTACGAACTTTAGGGCCGAATAGCATAGCCAAGATTCCGGTCCTTCGTATTGGACAACCTAGTTTGCTAGCTGAAAACCTCTGGAAACTTATAATCTGGAAAAGATAAATCAAGTATAGAAGAAAGAAAGGAATATTATCTCCTGTTCATTGTGTGGGAAGCTGAAGCGTGGAAAAAATGAAAAACTCACCCAAGATCTATTGGTAGAGGACTTTGGAAGAATCAGGAGTTGAGCCAAGAGGCTCAGATTCGGAAAGCTGCTGCTTTGTGTGGTGGTCTGCTTGTGGCAACATCAGGAGACAGGCAGGACTGCTACTGGAGCTGGGCTACTACTGTACCATCGTGACCACTAGTTTAGGCTATTGCTGTACAACAGCCATACAGATGGTAGCATGGTCATATCCTAATGGCTTAACAAATCTGCTGACGTTCAGTAGGACTTGTGAGAATCAGACACATTTGAGAAGCCCACACTAAACCTCCTGATTCTTAACCCTTTGCGGGTTGAACTTTGGGGGAGGGCTTCAACTGACATATAAATGTTACATGCTTAAGCCTGTAAAATACTAAGCATAAAATCTCTGATCTAGTAAGGCATTTTAGCACAGCTTAATCAAATATCTTGCCAAATGAGGCCTAACTGACCATCTAACTATACATGAGTGGCATAGTTTGCTTGCATAAAAAAAAGCTGATGCCCAATGGATTGACCACAAATTGGTAAAATATATTCCAGAAACAAAATTAAGGGAAGTAAAACAGGACCAATGAGACCTTTAGGCAAAGTCAAGTGTGTCACACTTACATCTTTGCTTCTGTGGCTGTAACAGTTCAGGGAATATAGGGCAGTTCAAAATTTCTGATCTGAGCCTTCTCTGGATCTGTTTAGATAGTCTGACCCATTGCTTGGGGCTCATTCCATCAAGCATGCATTACATCCAACTGGATTTTGCCTAGGTAGGCCAAGCACTGGATAGACAACACAGGAATTCATGGTACTTAGGGGACACTGATCCCCTTCAGGTGCCCTATGGGACATGGGAAACCTTCTATGCATAGACCCTTTAAGCACACTGGAGTGACTGGGTCACTTTTGTTGTTACAGGAAGCTCTTATCATGGCCAGCATGGACCACCCGCATCTGGTGAGACTCCTGGGTGTCTGCTTGAGCCCGACCATTCAACTAGTCACTCAGCTGATGCCTCATGGCTGCCTGCTGGATTATGTTCATGAACATAAGGATAATATTGGCTCCCAGCTTCTGCTAAACTGGTGTGTCCAAATAGCTAAGGTATGTAGTTCATGCTGTTCTTTTTTTGTCATTTTCATAACTGAAAAACGTGCCACGCAAAAAAAAAGATACAAAAAAATTGTTTGGGTTTTTTGGATTTTGTTTGTGTTTGTTTTTTCAGGCGTGTTTTTGTTTTCAAGAAGGTTGGGTAGTTCTGGAAATAACACACTATTTTGGCTGCTTACACTATTATAGATTAGTTGTTAATATGTAAACCAAAGTGTTTTTCTTGACTGTCTTTCCAACTCAGTGTTAATGGGGGGTTTTTCGGAGGGGGAGAGCGGGGGGAAGTGGGGAAAGAAGCCCCCTGTGTGACATCTGGGGCTGAGCACAGAATGATTTTTCAGCCTCTTCCTGCTGTTCACTATTCATAGATACTGATTTAACCTGATTGTAGTTTTCAGCCTTTCTGAATCTGCATTGCCAGTTAAATTCTGATATGCCATCAATTGTCTGCCCCCACACTGCCAAGAAGATAAATATTCACTTCATGTCACTCCTTTGGGAACCACCACGGTTCTGCTGTGTTCAAGACATATCACAACAGCTGAGGCTGGAGGGTAATACCGCTCATCTCTGCAGAATGGGAAATCTCAAGGGCTGGATCCTGCTTTGCTTGCCATGGTGTAATGCTCTCTGCCTTCCTGTGGGGTTTTAGGAACAAGAGTGAAGCCATTATCGTTCAGATACAGACTGCACTTCAGCTGAGGTGGAACACAGTATAGGTCATAAATGCAGCCCTAATGTAATCCTTGCACAATGTTTTACATGTATTTTTAGGTATGTGTCGATATTCAGTGCTGTACTAAGACCAAGTTATTGATAATTAGTTGCAAAGAGTAACAAGATCTGGGAGTGTAGGGGGCCATAGGTTTTATCCATTTTAAAGGCTCTTGCAACCAGAGTTGTGTACAATGATGTTACTATGAATGAGAATCTGGAACCCACTTTTTATTTGGAGTTATTTAGAAGTTACTTAAAGTTTTAAATTATTTTGGTGAAAATGCTTGTTATGTACAAATGTTTGCCACAGACTGCCCTCTTATATTAGATCTGCAGCCTTAAGTGAATTTGCCACAACATCCATTAAGAAATCTTAATTCAAGTTGTAATGTTAAATTTTTAGCGCTGGAGAGAAACCTGGAGATTCAGCAATTGTTTTGCTGGACAGAATAGCAGCCATCAAGTAAACATTCGCTTCTTTTAAAAACTTAAATGCAAATATTTTCTTACAAAAGTAAGAAAACTGAGAAATTCAGCTAGCCCTGAGTTTTTGTTCAAGAAGAGGAGGAGTTTGAGGTTCATCATAATAGCGACTTTTTTTTTCCAGGGTCAGATCTGTTGTCAAACCTGCTTGAAGGTGACAGTAGTTGAACTGACCATAATGCTGGGTAGAAGGCTTGATCCATAGAAGGCGTGGGGGGAATCCCGGACCCACATTCTGATGTTGCAGCATTTTGTAGATGTGTTAATATCTGTGATTCGGCTGTGCTGTGGTGGTAAAGCAGCCAGAGTTGCACAGAATATTGGAACATACTGATGGGGATTGCTTGTAACTGGAGATTTGCAAGGGTTTATTTAGGGCTGTTAACAGACCGGGGAAGGTGGGGGAGAAAATACATATTCCTGTTCGAGTCCTTTCTCTCAACACAACCTCCTTCCCATCTGTTCTCCACTCCCTTGATTGATAGAGGCTGTTATTATTTATTACAAAACATATACACAGTGGCATACGTGAAAAGATAATACACCTTTATTTTCACTTTATGTATGCATATGGCCATTGACTCATTGGACTAATAGCTGTACTTGCTTTGCTATGGACTTTATGTGGGCAGCTGATTTAGTGAAGCAAATAGCCTGATCCATAGTAGAGGCTTACAGAGCTGACAGATCTGTGGAAGGGTCTGTGGAAGGCAAGTCATGGTTTTCCCATGGGGATTCTTATCAAAGTGAAACGGGTTCTAAACTGATTTCCATTGTGAATGGTTTCAGCATAATGTGGGGATCGGATTTAGGTACACTCATTTGAAAAACATTGCCTGCCGGATTTCTTGATCACCATGTGATGTGGGAGGAGAAGATGAGGTATTACAGATATTTGAGTTCTGAGATGGTGGGTAACCAAGCAGTGCAAAGAAGTGAGATCATACGTGTAATATTAACTGATGAAGTGTCAGGAAGAGAAAGGGAGATTCTTTATAACAAAAGGTGGCCTATTATTGAGGGGAAGTTTAGTGAAGTTTAGTTTATTAAAGTTTAATTAAATTCATCTTCTTCTGCATCACAATAATATTTAGGTTAATTTTGCCTTGGCCTCACGTTACAGCATGAAGCTCGTCCACTTGGCTACCCACAAAGGGGACAGCAGCAAGTGACTGTTTTCTTGGAAAAGTGCAGTACTTGGTACGTAGGGCTGACCTGTTAACTCTGGGCCATCACAGTCTGTCTGGATTATTTTCTTTTTCCCTTCTCTTATTTTTACTGCAGTGGTTGGTACTGGGTGTGGAGAGAATCAGTACGTGCCTGACAGGAGTTCTGGGTTTTCTGCGTTTGTGTGCATATCAGTGGTATTTAGTAGGGGATCGCTTGTTGTAACTGAGAAAGTCACCACAGGTGCTGACTACTTGCATACCATGCCGGTATGGTGCAATTCTGTTGCAGAAGTAGGCTCCAAAGAACTAAAATGTACCTTTAACTCTTTATTTTCTTCTTGTCTTTGGAGAGCTTGAGTGACAGTTGTGTGTTGAAAATCTTCCCCGTCAGGTTGCATCTATGCTTAAAGATACATATCTTAATTATTATAGAGGAGGCTATCAGTGAAGAGAGGAAAGAGGTAGGGACATATGAGGCTGTGCACACCACATAATGTATAAGAGTAATGCAAATTTTGCACAGAATTTTCTGCGTTGCATTGTGCTTTCTGTCTATTCCTTTGCTATCTCTCAGACTCTAATGTCAGTTGGTGTTAGAGGACCTACACAGGAAAATGTTTCAGAACTGGTAGGAAGAAGAATCTTTGAGATCACCAGACAAGGAGTCCCCTTATCCCAAAAAGTGGAATAAACGTGCTAGTCCTCTGCTAGCAGCAGGGCAGTAGTAATACTTGTTTTCCACTCATCTGTCACATTTAACAGTGACTAGGAATCAGTCTGCAGCCTGCAAATAGGAAAGATTCAATTTGCCTACAAATAGATCGTCTCCAGCGGAATAACTGCAGAAGGTGGCTATTGCATCAAGCACAAGTTTCCATTCACAGCAGGAAAGGTCTGTGTATCCCACGTACGTGTATCCGCTGTGCTCACATTTCAGGTGCTGCCATACAGCTTGAGAATGTCTCTCCACATCTTGCTTTTCTAGACTTTTGGGAATAATTTCTTTCTCTCTGAAAGCTACTAAAAACATGATTGGTAATGTAATAAGAGGCAAAAATGATCAGTGACCTCCCTGTCCTATTCTCTGCTCCTAGAAGCAGCTTCTGGTATCTTTAGTTAGATACATCTTTCTACCCTCACCTCCCCTCTTTTTATGGTGAGAATTTTCCCCAACAAGAAGAGAACTGAAGGAACTGGAAATGTGTCGATTCCAAAGTTCAGGCTGATTTTTACGAATCGTTTAAAATCAAGTTGCTGCTGCAATACAGTTCCTCCCTACTGCGCTTTTCTCCATCTGCCAACGTGCAGGCATTTATTTATCGAAGTCATTGCTTCAGAGTTCACTTGTTCTGCCAGGCTGTTCATTTCCATATGTCTCTACTTCTGTACAACTAGATGCAAAAACTAGTTAGGCGCTATGCCTGGTTGCCAACCTGCATATGGCTCTGGAGATCATTTCTGAAGGTTGACAATAGGGCAGTTATTAAATATTATCTACTGCCAATTGAAAAAAAGCTTGGATGCTTTTTATTTTGCTTATACAGATTGTGTTGATTTTATTCTGACTGTTATATCATCATAGGGTAATTGTGTTGTCTTTCCAGAAGCTTTAGCTTCTTATTTTATGGATGAAAGTTACAAAAATAGAGTAGCCCCCAAGCGTTCTGCATAAAACATGGTTGTTAGCAGCTGTGTCTAAGGGGGTTTTTCCCTTCTGCTTTGCAGATACACAAGGCATCTCCTTGTGTCTCACTTCGATGTGTACTGTCTCACTTAGGGACTGAATGTGTCACCTTTTAGCTCTGAGTTCAGCACAGCAATTTCATGTGGAGTTTGATGTCCAGTAGCGTAGTAAACTGCTCACGTATCAAGATACTTCCTAGAGGGGGAGCAAGAGTGACAAGCTTGGTGGCTTTAGGGTATAGAAGGATGGAATAATACTTCATGAACGTCCATAGTGTTGGCTACTTGAGAAACGGATTGAAAATCAGATTTTGTAAGGTTAGCACAAGCCTGCAAGTGAATTCTCGGTAGATGAATTACATCTTTGTCAGCCAATGTATGACAGATACGTGTAAATTGCGAAGATTTAACAACAAAAAAAAAAAAGGTATGGTGTGGATTGATATTTCAATGCGTTTGATGTAATTTTTCTTAGCAAGGGCTGCCCAAACACACTCCCTGGCAACTTGGAGGTGTGGGGGTGAGGACATTCTTATGGAAATGCATTCAAGAAGAGAAAAAACATCTTGAGGTTTCTAGTCAGAAAGAGTTGGTTACACTCTGCCACTAGGTGAGGTTAACTGTAAGGCACCTGTATTTGAGGTTGTATCCTCTCACTGTTACTCTAGTGGAAAAAATTAACCTGAGTTCTGTTGCAATTATTTGTGCTGTGCTAGGCTCTGTCTCTCTCAAGGGCATATAGAAATGCATTTTTGCTTCTGTAACTTTGCATACAATGCTTGCTAAATTCAACACAGAAGTTCAACCCAGGCAGCCCCATCTACTGTTTTACTATTTTTTCTGGTACAATTACGGTTTCATTCTGCTACTGTTGATTTGCATTACATCTGCACCAATTCTGTTGAGCAGTGTTGGAATGCAGAGGAACTTTTCCTGCCCCGA